ACTTCTTTCTCTTTTACTCCGACGAAGGACTAGCGTCCGAAACGTCAGTAAGTTTTTTCATCTTTTCACGGTGTATAATTTACCTTTTCATCATAACTTAAACGAATTAGAGCTGTGCTCCACAGTTATACATGGAATTAAGCAACTGCCAGAAATGCCTTCACATTGCTTTCAACTCCACCCCATTGAGCTTCACCACTGATGTACTAGTGGTGGTGATGAGTGTCAAACTCAGTTTTTTCCATATTTCGCTTCCATTGTACTAGGCCCACCTTTTGTCTTTTATTAGCATTTCGTCTTCTCTTCCTCCAGAAGGCTTCCAAAACCTCTTCACACTCCAGAACATTTTCTTCGGGTTCCCAAGTGTCCTCCTCTGGTGGGAATCCCTTCCATCTCACCTTATAGTACCGCTTGCCATCCTGGAAAAGAAAGAAAAACAGGCTATAAATTTCTAAAGGGATTCCTGTGGAAAAGAATGAAGGAAAGGAACTGGGGTATTGGGAATACCTCCAAATTATCGCTGTGTTTTAAGTACTCTCATTTACTCAGGGTTAGCCTTGAATCGGTGTCTAAATTATCACAAATACCAATGGTAAAGCAAAGAATGCACAACTTCAGAAATACACTTCGAAATTCCACGGACCTTCACTGGAACAATAGGAATATTCTGCACAAAGTAAAGACTATCCCTGAGCAACTGAGAAAATGAAATTGGAGCATAGCAAGATCTAAGAATCGCTGGAATGACTGTTTTTGCTTGTTATTATTCTCGTCCATAACATGGAGGATAGTCTTCGATTTTTAGTGTTGTTTGCCTAACTATTTGTATTTTGTTGCATGCTAATTCCTTTCGGTCTTAGAATGACCTATCGTCTATCTTAGAAATAGACACAGTGTGCTATATTCAATATGGTATATGGTATATTTAAGGAACATAAAATGTGTGCGCATGTCTCTGTACTGTGATATAAACATGCTGGAAGCTGTAGAGCAAGTTTAGAGAGGAGAGGTATAGCTGAGTAGTTCTCTTGCTATTTCAATGCTCTAAGGCTCCCAAAATATTTATATCGCAGTACAGAGACATAAGCTGCTGTTTCATAAACACAGTAACCAGCACCTAATMTTTGTATTTCGAATATTTTATGGATGGCATATTAATAATGGTGTGGTATTGCTAGCCAGGTTTCTTTTGACATCATTTGCTGTTTCATAAAAAACGTTCAGTTTTGAATATAGAATTCTTTCTGGTTGACCTCACATGGTAGTCACAGTTTGACCAGCATTTGGAGCGGTTAATGAGATTCAAAGACTGTTATCATTTTTATGAATTACATTTAAAAGTCAGTATAAATACAGAACCGCGTTGATTTCGAAATATTACGATAACTTTTCAATGATGCTTTCGAAAACAAGTCTATCTATTTTACTTATTTACGTAAAACAAAACGCTTAAGCCTAATTGTTATAACTTTAATAAGCTTAATTTAGATGCGAATAGTTGGGAGATTCTATCAAAATAAGTCACGAAAACCTAGTAAATGGTAATAGTGAGAGAATTTAGCATTTACTAACGATGGATTATAACTACAATAGGGTTTATAATTAGCAAATAGAAGTAAAAATATTATATAAAAGAGGGCTTTGTTTACAAAAATGATGAGGTACGTACATCAAGTTACAGATGTTACTCGAACGGTCAAAATATCTCGACTTCTAACAGATAATATAGCATTTTTAAACCGACTTACCTTTACACGGGTATTGAGGAAGTATTCGACTTCAAAAAGTTCATCGTCCTCTTCCATTCTTAAGAGAAAAAGAGGAAGAAATGTCGGGATTTTTTTGTTCAAATATCAAAAATATTCGGCATGCAGGTGAAGTTTGACATAGACTGGTAACAGGCTCTCTCATCCCACAGGAAACCCAAGCAAACTTCTACGTTTCGAAACGGTTTTTTTTTTTTTTGCCGGTGAGGGGTGGGGGCCGGCGAGATTTTTAAAAGGGCACATCATTAAAAACATCCGCAAAAAAAACACAGATCTCAGCACAGGTAGCCCAAGCTTGGTTTCTGTGGTGTCCTGTTATAAGGAAATGTATGGGGATTCGTAAGAAATAAAAATAAAWATTTCTTACTGGTGGGGAAAAAAATCTTTAAACGGGCTAAATTCAAAAAATAACCACGCAGAGCGAAAGAAGTGTTCTTTATCAATGATCGGGTAAAATTTCGAGGCTTTATTTCACTTTTCAATGATTTTATTGACTTTTTTGATGAATCCCCATACATTTCCTTATGACATGACACTACAGAAACCAAGCTTGGGCTACCTGTGATCTCAGATCTCATGATTGCCAATGTACACACATGTACTAGTTCTTATAATAACCAATGTCACGGCTCTCCCCTCCCTCACACATAAATATAATATATATGCTGATCAAAGCCATTGTAGTTACGTAACAATGGACATTATTCATCGGAGCCACACCCCCGAATTCGAGACTTTATGATGGTCAAAGCTCCCCAACTCCCCCTCCCTCATACATGTCCCTCCCTACAGACCACCTATGATAATAAAGGATCTTACGTGACAACTGTTACGTGACAGCTGTTACGTGACAACTGGTCCTCGGTCAGTGCTTTCAACCCCCCGTCCCCTCCCCCCATAATGGCCAGGTTCTTGAACACCCCTCCCCAGCTAATTCTCCAATCGATGCGATCTAATGACAATTCCTTTTGAGCCCACTTAGACCCACACTATTACAAATGGATCAAAGGTGAACTAACACACGTCCGTTTACATGCCAAAGCTAATAAGGAAAGTAGGTGAAGACCACAATGTTATGAATACTCTACATATCTTTGAATTTGGAACGAACATTTTGACGATTCAAGAGTGGACAAAATAAATTTAGGGCGGGTTGAAGATTGAATAGCAATCTGATCATGAGAGAAAGAAAARAATTCCGCAAATGTAGTTTATTTATTTTTCTGCTCGCATGCATTTCTCATGGCAAACTAATTAAGCATTGTGCTAGTGACGTCATATTCAAGTGTTTCTATTCCGACTCCCAATATACCAGTTCAACCACGTTAAACTGCACGTATACGGTATTAAAAGTGTCGTACTCTATGATATAGACGACAGTTATTTGATCTCTAAGGATATTATGAGACATATATATATACAGACAGCTACACTCTATTTGATGGGAAGTGATTTTGTTGACACTACTCCATTGTAGTGTTGACCCTTTAGTGTTTAGAATGGTTGTACACGCTTTGGTGACCCCCATTCATGCCAATATGCAATTGTCTTAAAACGCAATAAATAAAATACCAAGAATAAATTCTTCTTTTTTAAAAGTCTTAGAAGTTTTAGAATCTTTGAGTAGCGCCGGCTTGCAAGTAAGGTGCTTGTGAAAATCAACTTAATTAGATTGAAGAGCCAGAAATAGTTGATGCCATCAGCAGATCGACGTGCTCCTCCAATGATACCCAACTATTCATAACTATAGAATACATACAAAATCATAATAAATCCCTGTAGGCTGAATCATCTTTCTGGAGCTTCATCATCTTGATTCTGACTTCCACTGAATTCCAAATCTCCAAGTTCTGGTAATTTTCGTTCAACCTTTAGACCAAATTCGTCAATCAGCCTTGACAACGTCGCTTCTTCAATATCGTCCAAAAATGAATAATCGTCGTCTGGAAGTGCCAATGTTGATAGCTTGAGAGTACAGTTATTTGAAGGTATTATTTTGTAGCTATAATTTTTATCGCAGGAATTGCAAGCCATATTCAGTGTCAATAGGAACAGATTATTCTTAAGCTGCAGCTAGGTAGTCACAGATTGATACCTTACAGCACTACCTCTTGTAGGTTTGCTGGGGGTGTGTTGTGAAGTGATGGCATGTACGTTGATGTGATGTTACTCACTGCGTACGCAGACGTTCTCCACAAGTACTGATCTTGGAAGTAGCATATATAGACACCAACTTATCACTTACTTGCTCATCTACCTTGGAATATGTAGTGAATATATTGGTTAACTCGTGGTCTTGGCTGGTTGGTGAAAGTTAACCTAGTCGTTACGTGGCTATTTATGGAATGATGTGTACATTTCCGTATTAAACAACACCATTTCCGAGGGGGGTGGACTGGGGAATTTTGTCTCCGCTTGACAAAGCACTTCAGTGACAATCCTGTATCAGATCCAGACTTACTTACTGTACTGAGGCTGAACTACCAAATGAAGATGAACTGAAAAAGCTTGAATCCTGTTGGTTTGGTCTACTAAGAAGAATGGTACGGAATGGCTGGGAAAGGAAAATGAATAGTGACGGAGAAGAAACGTTTGCCTTTAAATATAGGAACTTAGACCTGGAGAGAATAGTGGGAACCCTGGCACTTCGTGATTTTATATACATACGCTACTTGAAGTACATTGCACATGTTTGTAGAAGACCAAATTCAAATTTAACGAAACAGTTGCTGTTTGCAATTCCATCTGCTAAATATGTTAGAGATCCATGGATCAAAATTAGTCAACTACTTAATGTTGATAAACACCAAGCTAAGAAATCTACACAAGACAGAAAAGTTCTAAAAGGACTACTACATCAGAACTTTGGCTCTGTGTAGACTATATAGTCCCTGCTGATCAACTTATAGTTGGAAATAGCGGAATGACACTGATACTGATACTGATACTGACAATTCAGCACTAGAGGACCCCCTTGGTTAGCCTGTGATGGTATTGGATTACGACCTGTGATGGTATTGGATTACGTAAGTAGGAAATACAATCAGCACTTAACGATATCTTGTGACATTTGTGTCATCACTGGTCCGTAACAAGGTAAAAGTTGCATCTGTAGTTCTGTCGTATGATTCCATGCTCCATTCCTCCATGCCAGTCACGCGTCACGCTTGAAGTGTTGTTGTGTGACGTCATATCTGGACACTTGCGGAATCACAGCAGCCCAAGCAATGTTCTTGCGTACAGTTTACTGTAAATCAATGTGGTCAATCTGCTATAAAGATACAAATGTATGAATTTTTGATAAATCTTGACAAAACTTTATGTTTTTATCATATTTTAGTGAGTGACCGTATGAAGTTTAGCTCTGATCCGAGGCTTATTTGTCCAGATTTTTTCACAGGTAGACCAAGCTCTGCTTTTAATAGCGCAGCGCACTGATTCTAAAAATAGCTTAAAGATTCGGACAAACATTGCATTCTGTTTAACCACTACGAGGATTATACGAACCGATTTTATTATTTTTACTTAAAGTTGCAATAATAACCCATGTAAACTAAGATCAACTGCGATCGGTTGTGAAAATTATCTGCTGAAAGTAAACTTGTAAGTTTGTTTGTCCGAGTCGCCTTTGTCTTCGATTTTATGGCGTCACGGTTGCGCTGCGCTATTTTGTGGGGTTTTTACTAACAGTTTGTAATGTGAAATATTTTTGAACTAAAATACTGAAATAAATGCTACAAACTTTTCATGATATCTTATCCTGTGCTTTATCTTGGTCTGTACTACTAATTTCCAGCCGATTTGGAACTATTTTGAGCCGCGTCTCTCAGAGAGGGATCCGACAGCTCAAAACAGTTATTCAATATACTGGCACACACCCTCATTAAACTGTTTAGCAAGTTTAGGCTAGCCTTCAGCGCAGCTGCTGTGAGAGGCGCTTCCAGTTTCAGATAGTTATATCTATAAATCATCTTTCGTGCACGTGTTTTATAAGTTTGAAGCGGCCATAGGCTAGTTTCTTTAGAAAAACAACAACTGTTGCCAGGTTACGCGAGGGAAGGAAAGTGTGCGTGACTGTCATAAGAAAACTCGTGCCTATTCTACAGTTCAGTGATTTTCGTAGTATGCAAACCAGATAGTCTCCTCCACAGCTTTGTTTTGGTCCCAAATTCTCCAAGGGCCGGTGAGGATCTGGGACCAAAACTAATGCCGGCCCGGCTGCTGAGGAAACTAACCAGAATTCGATTGGCTAACGAGACAAAGCAGCTTTGCAAGAACTGGAAGGGGTTTCCCCAATAACTTGTCATCGCTTACTGTATCACCACCGCAAGTACAGCAGTGGCGCAGCTCAACAGGGTCGAACTGAAAGCATGTGAAGGCGTCTCTAGCAGACGCTGTACAGTCCATGTATGACCCCAGAGCACAGCTCTAACCAGTTTGAATTAGTTAGGGTTGATTTGAGTAAACTGTCCAATCACAGATCGCTATTTAGATCTCAGTGGGTGATTTGGGAACCAAAACAATATCCTTTTATGACTTGGATGGGGAATATTATGATTGTTGCTGTCCAAGTGTTTATGATATAAACAAATTTCTAGAAGATGGGATTTTTCAGTTTAAGTAAAGGTAAAGGACATGTACATATATATATATTAAGAATGTTTGGTGTTTTTATGAATGCTGATTTATATAAAAGAGGTGATGTGTGGCATTTTTATCGCTAGTGTTGTATGGTTCTTATTAATAAATACGAATGATTTGCATAAAGCCACCTGGAAGGGGGTTCCCCGATAACGTCTGTTCTGGAAGAAAAAGGTAGTTCCGCTTTCGCCTACCAAGACGAGAAGAATGCTTCGCCCAATAATCTTCTATTTTCTGATCCTTTGGCAACTAACCGCCATAGCTGCGCTTTTCTGTAGCGACAACAACTGCAAAGACTGCCTTGATTCAGTACTTAGTTGTAGATGGTGCAAGAGAGATGCTGAGTGTCATATGCCAATGGCCGTTCTTGCAAACGACTGCAAGAGATCGGAAAACATAGTCGAAGAGTCTCATTGTGATGACAAATTATCTAGGTACGACCCAGATTTATCCATGAAGATGTTACTTCTATCAGCTGCAGCATATGATCCAGTTGATCCTCAGGGATGCCTGGACAATTCCCTTCCATCTGCCATGCTCCAGCTTCGAATTGTTGTTACAAGGCAATGTGACAGCTCTGGAAACGAATGCTCTGGCTATGTTGCCGTTTCTCATGCTCTGAAAGCTATCGTTGTCGCTTTTCGTGGATCTCTGCATTCAGATCAAGCATTTAAGGTATTTTTAGACACTATAATTGAACCGAAGGAATCCTTTTTGGGTGGCGAAGTTCAGTACTACTGGAAAAGAGGATTCGAGGAATTATGGTCGTGTATGAAAAAAGACGTTAAAACTCTCGTTTCCGATAACCCATCGTATAAAGTATGGGTAACTGGACATTCTCTTGGTGGCGCGATGGCATCACTGGCAAGTACCTGGCTCGTTTATTACCAAATTGTTTCTCGTAAGAATCTCATCTCATACACGTTCGGAATGCCTCGAGTTGGAAATTACGATTATGCTTTGGAACATGATAAGCTTGTGAACAACAGCTGGCGCGTTGTCAATTATGATGATCCCGTTCCTCATTTCCCAATCTTGCTATCCCCGACCGTCGTCATCCTTAATAATCCTTACCATCACGGAGTGGAAGCTTATTACAAAGTGAAGGCTACCAGCCCATATTCACAGCACAAGGAATGCCATGATAAACCATACAACGAAGATGCATCATGCAGTTTTACAACAGTGCCATCTCTGCTCGACTTCGAAACACACAAAATTTACTTCAGCATTCCAGTTGGAACATTCTGGAAGACAAAGTGTCTTAGCTCGACGCGAAAAAAGAGAGAAGCTACAGAAAATTCTAATAAAACTTCATCAAAGGAGTTTCAGTTTAAATATGGCGTCTGCTCGAAGTACAGATACACTAACCGCACATATGTTCAAGTGGCTAAATCGTACCGCAGTACAGCTTCAAAGCTGATTGGAAACCTTCATTTCTTTTTGCTCCTCCTGACATTTATTTCCACCTAAATACTAGTCACTATTTTCTTCTTTTTGAATGTGCTGTTTACTCTCATAGGAGCTTTGTTGTTACTTGCCTTTTGCAGTTCATAGAGCTATAGAGCTTAGACTATAAAGATTGTATGCTGCACTCTCAGCCATCTACCAGTGGCAGTGTGCATTGTAATCCATTAGACCTATAAGGATTGTAKGCTGCACTCTCAGCCATCTATCAGTGGCAGTGTGCATTGTAATCCATTAGACCTATAAAGATTGTATCCTGCACTCTCTCAGCCATCTACCAGTAGMAGTGTGCATTGTAATCCATTAGAACTATAAAGATTGTATGCTGCACTCTGAGTCATCTACCAGTGGCGCAGTGTGCATTGTAATCCATTAGAACTATAAAGATTGCATGCTGCACTCTCAGCCATCCACCAGTGGTAGTGTGCATTGTAATCCATTAGAACTATARMGATTGTACTCCGCACTCTCAGCCATCTACCAGTGGCAGTGTGCGTTGTAATCCATTAGAACTATAAAGATTGTATGCTGCACTCTCAGCCATCTACCAGTGGCGCAGTGTGCATTGTAATCCATTAGAACTATAAA